AAAAAACTGTATTGCAGTCTCGTACAGAGACCGACCTTCTAGATGAAGAATTGTCTTTTCCATGTGTTTCATTGAGATGAGGTTGGACTTGATGTATTTTCAAGCCAAATAATTATGGGAATAAATTTTTGCTTGTGATGCACAATTGATATATTCTTGTGTTAAAAAAGGCATTTCACACTTTTATAGGAAAATAAAATTATCGGAATATGATGGTATGCACAAATGAAACAAAAGTAATAAATAAATGATTGTGAACAGCAAATGCCTTTGGTATAATCAACTGCTCCGCAGAGCAGAGCCGTCGGTCCCTGTCTGCCTGTCTGCTCGGGTAGAGCGCCTCTTCTGCCCTTCTGCTGCCGTCTGGCGCTTTTCGACCTAATGCCAGGAGCCACTGCTCATGTCCACGTCGACTGCGAACCTCCTGTTCTTGGCCGGCTGCATTTGTCTAATTCCGTACGGCAGCTTCCGCCAGTCGGTCGACTGGCTCCTGACCTTGTGACCCTCTTCTCCGGCCTCCGTGGTCGCGCTAAATCTGACCTCGGGCGGCAACAACCTCTGCGTGACCCGCACTCGACTCAGACCCGTGTCACACTCGGCCTGGCCCGGAGGATGGACCTGCATGTGTGGCGGATGGTGACTGGAGATTGGCTGGACACTCGTGGACAGGGAACGGTGGAAGTTGAGCGGAGCGTCCACGGCCGCCCTCCGCCTCCGCTCCAACACCCTTCGATGCTGGCCGATGCCGTTGATGTTGTTGCTGCCACAGACGGCGGCAGCGGCCACATTGCCGGCCGTGAAGAAGCTGCCTCCAATGCGTCCTGCGGCCCGAGTCCTGTCCAACGGGGACCCGGCGGCCGGGTAGCCGGGCACCTTCGGCGGTCGCGACGGCCTCTTGCGTTGGCTCTCCTGCTCCTTCTGTGCGTCCTCCGCGCCGACGAGCAGTTCTGCCATGCCCATGGAATGCTTGTGATTGCGCTTGCTTCGCTGGCGCAGCAGATCGGCCGGATGGCAGGGCAGAGCGCCCAGCCGTCCGTTGCCAGAGTACTGCTGTTGCGGGTGTTGGTGATGAGGAGGCTGTTGCTGCTGTTGGCGATCGTGGAGGGCCCTAAATGTTTCATCGGAATTGATGCGTTTCTGCTTCAACTGAGTGTCGACGAACAATTCCGCATTGTGTCCGCTCAGGTTGCTGGAGCGCGGGGTCGGCTCGATTTGGGAGCTGGAGGTCTTCGCCATCAACGAGGTCAGGGTGTCTCCGGGGCCCCAGATACTCTCGGGAATCTCGGTTAAATCCCTTGGGATAGCGCTTTGAAAAGCCTTATTTCTCACTATCCAATCGGTGACCTTGTGGTCAATGATGTTCTTGTAGCCCTTCTGGTCACGAAACAGCTGCTTCAACTTGTCGGGCGCACTGTGATCTCGAGCATTTGTGTTTGTGGCCTCAGTCTCTTGCTCCTTCGTCATTTCAGCCGCTAGACTCTTGTAATTGCTTAGCCTTCCATCATTTGATTTACTTTCCCAAATCTCCGGTTTTCGACCGAGTAAAGTTAGCTGCGATCCCATCCCAGGCTGCTTACCGCCCTCATACATGTGTACTCAACTGAGAACAAAAATGACTGCATAAAATAACATCTTATTTTTGGAGAAATAGCTCAACCGAGTACGTCCTCGCCATTGCTTGAACAAGCGGCTTTAGGAGCAGAGAGCAAAGGAATTTACATTTCAATCGATATTTCATCAATCGAAGTGAAAAGAGTTGAGAAGACAATTCTAAACTTGTTTTATTTATTTGCAATTGGAAAGTGTTACATTGTGAATAGTGGGACCTCTTCGTCGAAATGTGTGTGCTTACAGCAGCCGTGTTCAGATTCCTCCTCATTTGCGTCAAAGCTGCCCAGCTTCATTTCGCGCTGGATTAGCATCGTCTTCTCCACAGTTTTGAACAAATCCCTCGTGCTTCTGCATGGACACGTACATTTTCCAGAAAGTTTCAGCAGAGTTGGTCTTTTACTCATCCTAGGCAGTCCAACAAATGCTGCAGCACATCTGTAAAGCAAACGTAATCTGACGGTAATTAACCGGTCTGAGTCTTTCCATCAGTTTGCCTCTCATTAAGGCCATGATTTCTGCGTCTACCTGTTGGAGCTGATGAAAATGCTCAATTAAGCTGGAGAAAAAACAGTCTGTATGCATAAATGCAGCCTGCTAAACACACGTGAGTCCAAGGCCAGCATAATCCGACTGACTATCTGACAAAATGGTCTGCCTCAGCTGCAAGCGGCTTGTGGCTGGATGCCAAGTTCTCTTTCATGCATGTGTGGATACGCTTTATTGAAT